AAAAAAACAACTATTCATTACAATTCCTTAAGAAGAATTCCCTCAGAGGTGCTTAAATTATAAGGAAAAAAACTTTATTATCTTTCAAAATATGTGGCATTTAAAATAATCAAGTAAAATAAAGTTACAGTATTTCTTTTCCAATTTACAGATGTTTTTCCTTTTCCAGTTGGCAGTGTAATTCTCCCCTTGGTTTGTACTAGTAACACATTATTCATGATAAAATTAATTTCAGAAACTGAGATAGGCAATAAAGGCATTACACCAAGACCCAACAGCCACAGAGAACAAGTGACATAATAATGCCCTGTAGTCAAGGATAAGTCACCTCGGGAGCTTCTGAGCGTGAGCTCTGAGCAGAGCTCACACCTCTGTCCTTCAGGAAGGAACTGATACAAGCCAGCTTTTACTAGGCCACCTTCCTGCCCTCGAGGCATCTAATGGTTTTCCTTCCTCTCTCCAGCCCACATCTCTCTCAAGAAAACTCCATACACCCTTGGGTTCCATGTCAACTGATTATCATTTCTTAATTCCACAAATATTTCAACAAGCCCCACCACTTAAAAATCACATTATCATCTCCCCCCAAACCAAACTCGGCCTTCTCCCACTTTCCCATCTCAATGAATGTTTCTAACCGCCACTGAATTTCCCAAGCGAAAAGCCTGGGCGGCATCCTTGAATTCTCCTTCTCCCTCCTCTGCTATGTCCAGTCAACAACCAATTTTTGAAATAAAAAATACTTTCAGAAAGCCTCAAGAATATGCACCATCATAACACTACAGTAGCAGCCCCCTTCCTACAAGGGGCCAACTAAAAGTTACTAACAGCTCACATTTATCGAGGCTTACTTTGTGCTAAGTTTGAGGTCTGAGTTAATTTAGTCCACACAACAATTTGAGGCTGGTGCTAGTCTTATCCTTGTTTTACAGATGAGGACACAGCTACAGAGAGCTTTGGTATCTTGCCCATGGTAACAGGGGTGAAGCCAAAGGTCTTAATTGCGCTGAACTTGGTCACTTCTGTGTCCTTGCATGTGCTTTTCTGCTCTACTTGGAAGGAAGGCCCTTTCAACCTTGTCTGCCCAGCTTCAAAGGTCAGCGCAGGCAGTCTCCTCTACAAAGTCTCCTGCTGCCCCCTGCTGGTGCTTATTCTCAAGGTTGGCTGCAAGCTCTAAAAACTGGATGCCTAGATTCCGACCTTAGAGATTCTGTTGGCATTGGTCTAGATGCAGCCTGGGCATCGAGACTTACCAAACTCCCCAGGTGATTCTAATGTGCAGTCAAGGTTGAGATCCACTGCTATATATTCTCCAACTTTTACACTAGCGCACTTAATGCCACTGCATTGGGATGAGCTGTTTATGTCTGTGCTGCAAACAGCGTTGTGACCGCCTGCAATGGAAGTTTCACGTGGGGGGCTTTTTCAAAACTAGAGATTCCTGGGCCTCACTTATGAACTAAATCTTATCTGTGGCCAGGGCCCTGGAAACTATATGACATATTTGGGGACTCCCTCCTAGGTAAAACCTGTGTCTTTTCATTTGTACCCGTCAGGTTACAGCACGGTGCCCAGCCCATGATAAACATTTGTGTAATGAATGAAATCTAGTATTGTGACTCTGGGGGCTGGGTGTATGTATTCAATATTCAAGCTTTCTGAATCAGCACCCAGAAAAGCTGCTGCCTATCATCTATCGAAGGACACTTTGGTTGTTTGGTTGTTTCCATGTCTTGGCCACCATAAATAATGCTGCAATGAACATCAGAGTACGCGTATCTTTATGGATAGATGTTCAGCCCAATACATTTAATGATAATTTAAAAATAATAAATTCAAGGAACTGGAAAAAAAACGAAAGAAAAAAAAGCTGCTTCCGGCAATAGAATGCAAATACTGGGCAGCTTTTCCAATGTGTTTTTTAATCCACTGGTGCCCCCTATTGACCTGAAGATGAATAGCTAAAACAATGGTTAACAGTTGAAATATTTTAATTGTATATATACACATAACTAATCACACACACTGTACTTTTTCTACCAACACCTATACTATCAACTCCTTTGCCCTCCAGTCCTAGGTGACCCAAGCTGATAACTCCCAAATCCAGATCAATCCTCCCATTTGCTCTGTTCCCACTCCCGGACTGCAATCATGACAGACATGCCCTAGCAGCTCCCAGCAGAGTCCTCAAAGTCTCTCTTATCTTGTTTGTTCCTTGGTCAGTGCCTCGTCCAAATTCCACCACGCTCATAAAATCACTCACCTTGAAAACACATGAAACCATTCATCTACCAATTTGCCTCAGTTCTTGCTATTCAAAGTATGATGGGGGCCCGGCAGCATCTGTATCGCCCAGGAACTTGTTTAAAAAATGGAGAATCTGAGGCCCTACCCCAGATCTACTGAATCAGAATCTGCATTTTAACAAGAGTTGCATGCACATTCAAGTTTGAGAAGCACTGGTTCTCAATGACTAGACCTAACACTGCCATTTTAGGACAAATATTTTTTAAGTAACTCTTTTGCTGTCTTGAAATAAAATTCATCACCCAGTTACACACGAGTCCCCAAAAGCAGAGACCAGTAGGCTGATTTGATGGTAACATAATGGAGAACAAAAAGGCAAGATTTGTAAGAATTATACATTTCAGTATATAATGTCCAACACAACTAAATTAAAGATATGAATAACAACCCAAGATTCCAAAGTGTACTCAAACGGGGTGATACCATCTAGATGAGAACCACTGATCTATAATCACTCCCATCCTTCTTCCATCTCACAGGAGGGAGGGATTCTCTCTCTAAAAGCTCCCTTTCCACATTCCTCCCTAGGCCATAAACATTGCCAAATCTTGACTGCTGCAACCACCACAAAACAACTCTAGAATCTTGCCCCAACATGTCGTTCCAGTTAGCATACTCTCTCTCCTTCCCTTGACAGTCAAGCTTATCAACCACCATTGTATGCGTTTACACATCTCTCAGTCACCAACCATCCTAACCTAGCTTTCACTTCCATCAGTAAACCTACAATACATGTATCATGAAAGCTTTCCAAATTGCCCAAATCAATGATCACTTCTCCAAACTCATCTAATTCATCTTTCTGCAATGGACATTGTTGGTTGCACATCCAGTCTCCACTTCCCCACTGTGTTCATCAATTCATTTCTCTCCCATGTGATTAAGGTAAAGCGACAAGATCCAGAGCTGATCCTGTCTAACCCAGTCAGAGCATGGCATTCTCCTGGCAATTGCTACTGGGTCAGTGGCAGATACCTGACCTAAGCTGGTCCAATCAGACGGAAGGAACAGCATAATCCAAGCACGGGAGTGTAGTTCTCTCCCTTTCTCTTGTTCTAGTGAATGGAAAGCATGTGTTACAGGCAGTCATCTTGCAACCATAGGGAAACCTATCTTACTTGTGAAACCCAAAAAAAGAGGCTGGGTCCTTGATGGCACTGCTGACCCACAGGAGTCCATCCTTCCTCTGGACTTTGTGAGATAATTTTCCTTACTATTGAAGCTGTTGGGTTTCCCAGCTGAAAGCATCTTAACAGAGCCTGCCCTTCTTGAAACTTTCCTCCCTTGATTTTCTAAACATCACTCTTTTGTGCTTTTACCTTTACCTCTCAAAAGTTGCTTCTTGAACATCTCTAGCCTTCCCTCTCCCTCTGCCTACTCCTTACATTTTGGTGTTCTCCAAGGTTTCTTGTGATCTTTTCTATTCAAGTGGCATGTTAGAATCCCTTCAGCTCACTCACAACAGAACTGTTACTGGCACTTCCTCCAGTGCTGATGTTCCCCAGCTCACCCGCTTCATGAACTCCTACTTGACTTTGAAAGCTAAATTTAAATGTCTCCTCTCTGAAGCCTCCTCTAAAGTCCCCAGGGGTTCCTTGCCTTTTTTGTGTGCCATGAACCTCTTTGACTGTCTTGTGAGCCCTACGGACCCCTCTCAAAATAATGCTTCTAATTGCACAAAATACCAATTATGTTGCAACAGTTGTATTTTTAAAATCCGAAATCTGATAGTAATATGTGCTTCTTTATTAACATATTAAATAAAAAGATCTAACAGTGAGTCCTATAACTACTGTAATTTTGAAGAAGTGATGAGCATAAATGACATTTTGAGATCTGCAACATCTGTGACTTGCATTGGTCCTGTGACTTCTACTGGTGACAGGTACTGCTAATACTACCCTGATTTGTTGCCGTAGTAGCTTATTAAATGAATGGCTCCCAGTGAACCACACCTCCTCATATTCGTGCTCTGGTGTAGTCCCCCACCATATTGACTCTGGGCGTAGCCAGGTGGCTTGTTTTGACATCAGCAAAAGTGATGCAAGCAGATAAGTTTGCACATTGGGACTTGCCCACTTGGAACCCAATAACCATGTGAGGAAGTCCAAGCTAGGCACATTGATGGGTACCAAATATGGGTGTAAGACCACCCTGTAGTGTACCCAGCCACCAGCTGAATTCAGCCATTGGGGGATGCCAGCAGAACTGCCCAGCCAACCCATTGACGTTGAAAATAAATCATTGTTTTAAGGCACTTGGCTTGCAGCAGTTCGTTCTCCAGCAACCGATAACTGAGTTCCCTACATTCATAACTGAAGGAATTGCTCAATTTCAGTTGGAGATTGGTGAAAATAAAGATATTTTTTCCCACCAGAGTTCAAGGACTCCCTGAATACTATCCAGACACTTTGAGGCACTGAGGACCACAGGTTAAAAACCCCTGGTTAGGCAAAGTAGATCCTGCTCTCCTTTTTACCACAGTACATTGTTGATACCCATGTAAACTGATCACAGAAAAGCCTTTGTCATTGCAACCCTAAAACTGAACTGAGTTCCTAGCACATAATAGATGTTCAACACAAATTAATCAAACAAATGCAAGTTGCTTACGGGATCTGTCCTCCGGACTAAACTGTAAGCTGCCAGAAAACAAAAAAAAAGCAAATGCTTAGATGGTATTTCTGTGTGCCAGAGCCCCTTTCAAGTGCTTTACACATACTAACTTATTTATTCCTTATAAAAACCCCATGAGGCAGAGGCTATTCGCCCAATTTCACCAATAGGAAAACAGACACAGAAAGGTTAAGTGACTTGCCCAAGGTCACACAGCTAGAAAATGGCAATGCCAGGACTGAGAGGCAAAATCCATGTTCTGATGTTACAGCCTGTACTAATGCGCCCAAACCACCTTGCAGGAGCTCAACACTTTTTAGTACAATTTTGAAATTTCATTAGCGTTCTTTTATGGGTGCTATGCTTCTTACAGACAATTGTGTAGACTAATTTCTGGTAGCTTGTGATTTGTTTTTCATGATAGAAACTATCATTTCTTTAAAGTAGTAGAATGGCTTCACTTTAAAATGCAGATTTTCAAACAAGGTCTTCACTGTACAAGTCAAAGGACTTTGAAATTTCTTTCAAAGGACACAAATTCAGAAAATGTAAAAAAGGGGTCGACTTGTCCATACTAAACTATGCTCGCTGAGGAGGGGAGCGAAGCTCCAGGTTCCCCCCTCACCTAGCCACTCCTATACCAGCCTCCCCCACATCCTGCAGCAGCTTCTCCGAGAGCGGCCCTCCCCCATTCACATACTTGGTTCTGAAACCCGACCCTGCCAGGCAACCAAAGCCTAACCCCGCAGTGCCCGGAGCTAGCCTCACCCTACCCATAAGCCCAAGAGGGCACCAGCCGAGGAGAGGGTGAATACTTTTTAGGGGGCACTTTAATTTTTTAAAGTGTTTATTCACGAGAGCATGACCCAAATGACAGTACCCACCAACCCCGGAGTTTCACCCCTCCGCCCGGCAGCCACTGGCTTCAAGCCGACAGGTGAATGAACAGCAGGGCCAGGACGCAGCCAGCCCAGAGGCGGGAAAAGTCTCGGGGCGAGCCGGGCCTGGCCCCCAAAGAGGCCCACGAGAGCGCGGGGAGGGTTCCGGGAGGTCGGGAGGGGGCGGTGACAGCTGTGACCCGGCTCCACGCTCTCACCTTGAACATGTCGCTGGCAACGGCGGCTCCGGCGGGGTCACCCCAGCCTCGGCCCCGCCCACTACAGAGAGGCGGCTACGGCGGCCGGGTAGGGCCCTGATTCCTCCGAACGCAAGCGGGCCGCAGTGCGTGTGCTGGTGGTACGGCCAAGTTGATCCCGCGAAAGCTCAGTTCCGAAGCCTGGGCTGGAGGCGACGTCGCTAAGCTGCAGCGCGTCGCGCCTCGCGCGGCCGGTGGACTCAAGCCCCGCCTCACAAAGGCTCCGCCCCTGCGCCAGCGGTTGCTAGGCGGCCGAAAAGCGCCAGCTCAGTGTGGGCGGCACACTGGGGCGCGAGAAGGGAGGCGCCGGGCGCCGCGCGGCTCTGGGAATCGGTTTTCGGTACCGTGATTGGGCGCCCAGCGGCGTGGGCTGGGAATCCTGTGCGCCGAGGCTGCCGGGCGGGGGCGCTCGGAGGGCCTCCGGTGGCTTCGAAAGCCTCGCAGGCCGAAACCGCTGACCTCGGGGGCCTGGACTTACCTCACAAAAGGTTTTCAGATTTTTTGGTTACCATGGGCTGGACGTTTCTGAGGTTTTAAATTTAAACTAATTGGCCACGTCCTTTTAGTCTGCAAAGGACCTGACCTTTTTTTTCCGCCCCCCTCACTGGGAATCAAATGTTTGTCCTTTAATACTAGTAGAAATAAGTAATAGTGATAATTATCTTATTAACAAGAAAAGCAAGCTCTAACACAGCGTTTAGTATGTGCCTAGCTGTGGTCTAAGCTTCTTAAACATGCTCATCTAATCTTTCTAATAACCCAAGTAGGTGGGCATGGTTACTATTCCCAATCTATTAGATGAGGAAACTGAGGCACAGAGAAATAATTTGTACAAGGCCCCACAGAGGGAAAGTGGGAAGCCAGGATGCAGACCTAGGTAGTCTGCCTTTAAAGCCTGTGATCTCGCCTCAACAATTGTTATAGTGTCTCCTCATAGGGGTGTGTTCATATTTCTTCTGCATTTCACGGCCTGACCCCATAGAAAGTGTAAACCCATCCAGGCGGGCATCCAGAGGATTTGGGGGGTGGGGTGGGGTGATGTGTCACTGCCCTCCAGCCAAAATCTCTAGGAACACCAACGTAATTGAACGAGTTGGGTTTATTTCTCATTGATGTGAGCGGGGAGGGTGGGGGGGGAAACACCTTGGTCAACTGTGGGGCATCTCAGTAAGAGGGTGTTAGAAAGATTTATTATAGGATTTGGGCTTTGGGTGGGTAATTTGGTGACGAGTTCAAGGAAGTGGGCTTTGCTCTGAATTGGGTGTGGTTAGGATGCCCGAGTAGCACCAAAGCCCAACTGTGAGTGCCAAGCCAGCTCCTAGATATTAAGGGCTGCTTTTCTCCTTCTCAAGTGAATTGTATATTCCAAGCCCATCCCCCTTCCACATCCCTAGCGAAAAATATTGAGAAGGCAGGGCCGGCTGAGTGGCTCAGTTGGTTAAGAGCTCACTCAAGAGTTTGAGCTCTGAGCAACAGTGGTTCGAGTCAGCCCGAGCTGAGCAGCCGTGAGCTGCCAACAGGTGGCGGGATGGCTCAGCTAAAAAAATATATATATATTGAGAAGGCTTTGTATTAGTAATAGAATGTCATATGTATATAAAAATGTGAAGTATATTGATAAATTAGGGCAGGAGTTCTTAATTCAGGGGGTACATGAACTTGGATGGGGAGAAAATTACAACTTGATTTTCACTAACCTCTAACTGAACTTTAGCATTTCTTTCAATTATAGTATAGGTAACAAACCACAGTAATATCAGCAGTACCTGTGACTTTGTCATCGATAGAAAGCACAGATATTTTCATATCATGTTATAGTCATGGCAGATTTTTTGAAATATTTGTACTCATTACCATTTCACAGGTATAGTAGTTATTAGAGCTCTCACTTAATGCATAAAAAAGACTCATAGTTCCATAATTTTGTTCTTGAAAATACTGCAACAATGATTTCAATATAATTTTTAATCCTATTGGGTTGTTGGGAAAGTCATGACGCATTTTTGCATAGAAAACAATGCAAAAATGCGTCATGACTTGCCCAACAACCCAATATATATGTTACGCATTTTTAAAAACCTAGTTCTTGGAAGGAGTCTGTCCATAGGGGCCCATGGCACCAAAAGAAAAGACAAAGAGCCCCTGGTGTAGTAGAAGAGTCTAAATAGTGACTGCACCCAAATTGGAGTAATGCATCAAAGGATAGAAAATCAGAGGTCGAATCAGATCATTTAGTACACACCTTCTCACTTTACCAAGGTGGGAACTGAGCTATTCAGCGGTTAAGGGGTTTGCCCAAAGTCTCACAGCTAGCTATTCCATGATAAAACCAGGGTGGAAAATTTTTAAACAAGCATGTAAAAACCCTTCAGTCTGCTAGGCATTGGGGATTCCATAGGTTGAGCAAGCTGCCTCCTGCCCTCAATGAGCTTGTTGGGGTGACAGCCAAGAAAACAAATTATGATGCAACATGAGAAGTACTGTAAAAGAAAAACATATACAGTATAATGGGAACTTGGAGACAGGAGCGAGCAGTTCTGTAAACAAGGAGGAAAACCTCAGAGGCATTAATTAGCTGTGGTCTTCAAGGATGAATTGATGTTTGCTGGTGGCAGAGAAGTCATTCCAAGTAGAGGGAGGAATACGGCATGATCAGTGGCCCAGAGTTGTAAAACATTGACTGATATTGGCAAGAAGTTCCCGTTCTCGCAGAGTGTAGAGAGGGATGCTGATATGAATTGATATTTTGAGATTCGAAAGAGAGATATGGAACTAGATTGTGAAGAGTTGAACTCCATTCTAAGGAATCTGGACTTCAGCTTAGAGGAAATGAGGTGTCTGAGAGATTTTAAGTTGGAGAGTGATAAGGTTGGATTATTGCTCTAAAAAGTTAACTCCAGCTGCAGTGTGCAGGATGAATAGGAGGACAAAGAGCTAGGAAACAGGGAGACCAGTTAGAAGGCTATGGATGGATCCACTTGTCTTTCCCATATCCCTCATAATATTTTTAGCACACAAAGACTGTAAACATGAAGAGATCCATGAAGCCTTCCTTTTTAAGAGGTTCTGGAATTAGTGCAACAATCATATGACACTTGAGTCTCATCCAAACAGTGTAACAATATAGATTATGATCTCAAATGCTTAATTTATTTACTTTCAGAGTACTTCGTTGTAAGGAGAATGAATCGTTCCTCAAAGGCACCAGTTACTGGTGTTCGAAAATCCAATAATCCTGTGCTCTCTTTGGCAGCGCAGACACAAAAATCCATTAATCCACGCTTGGGAAAAGGACACAAAGTACCTTTGTCAAATAAGGTAAAGACAAAGGCAGCAGCACCGTAAGTAGTCATCTTTTGCCTTGTATCACTTTCTACAACTGAACCGTTTCCATACGGTATTGACCCAGCTAACATCAAACACTTGTTTTGTAAATTAGAGGGGGTTTGTATGTTTTAAAATTACTTTTGAATTGAATAATTATTATAATTATAGTATTTCATAATTTACAAAGCATGTTAACACACATCTCTTTGATCCTGACACAACCCTGTGAAGCAGTCTTATTATTAACATTTTATAAGTGAGAAGCAGCAACTGGGAGAAGGTAAGTGGTTTGCAGAAGGTTAAACAGCTAATAAATGTCATCGGCGGGGATTCAAAGGTTTGTTTCCATACTGCAAGCCTTTTCTACTCTACCCCTTGTAGTCTGCATTTTGCCAGCCAACAGTGACATTATACAGGAGGACCTCTCTTTGTCTGTAGCCCTGTGAGGGGTAATGATGGGGTTGGAGGGTTTAGGAGAGGGAGATCCCTACACCCTGCCAGTGCTGGGACATGATCACAAGTAAAGTAATTCTCTGACCAGACTGGGATGAACCTGGTTCAAGCAAAGATCAGGGAAGGGAGTTTCTTTTTCTAAGGCATGGTCATCTGCTCCCAGGAGAGAATTGGGCCTACTGTAACTTCTACAACTCCACATTCTATTATTTTAGCTCTTGAACCAGTTGCACATTGTTTTTAAGAATTAATTACAACGGAATCATTTTAGGTCATGGATGTTTTTAGAAAGCAAGTTAGTGTCCTCACACTTTTTTTTTATAATATATATGCCTTTTGATGATAAAGTGTTAGCCAGGATGGTTTTTTAATCTCAAGGGAAATATTCTCAAGTATTTCATATGCTCAGTCTAAATAGATTCTGCAAATGACCAGTTCCAATTACCACATCCAAATGTTCCTCATTAGGTCAGTGTTAGGGTGGGGGGTGGGAGGAAGCATAAATTCAGAGATCCCCAAGATTTTAGGAAAATGAAAATGACATCCTTGCAAATCTTAACCTCTTATTTTCCTCCCAGAACTCGTGAAGATATTGCAGCTCTGAGGATACAGAGAGCTTGGCTGTGTCATCTAGACAAAACAGTATTTCAACTCCTAAAGCAAACAATTTGTGCAGCGGTATGTATTTTGCTTTTTGTTTTCTCTGACAGATTTAATTACTTTTCAAGCTAAAAGATCTGTTAAGTAAAGATAGAATGGATAGCCTTTTTTTTCCCAATCCTATTTAAATCTAATATTATTGCGTGGAATTCTGGGATTGCTTCTTTGATTAGCCCTAAATGACTATTTCTGGACTTATTTTTAAAATAGGTGACTATTATTTCTTTTTCTGAAACCAGTATGATGTTTTTTTAAAATTTCAGTTTCTTTTTTAAAGATGTGAGACAGTGATCTTCTAACAATAAAAATCTCTGAATTAAAAGTGCCCTTACTTTCCACCCAGCAATTTCACTTCTAGGAATCTATTCTACAGTATATGTACAATTTCATCGCAGTATTGTTTGTAGCAGCAAAGAAACTAAACCATATAATGCCCATCAATAGGATGCTGGTTAAATAAATACGTGATGGGGCTTTCATAGTGTTAAAACTCGAAGCATTGCATATGATTCTGCAGTAGAAAGATAGCTAAGATACTGTGTTAGTGAAAAAGGCAAGTGCAGAGCAGTCTGAGTAATATGGTGGTCCTATTTGAGTAAAAAGAAAAATACATATCTCCCATTCCCCCCAGAAAACAACTCTGGCAACCCTGGCAGAGTATTAATCCTTCCTTCATATAGCACCAAATATTCTCATAAAATCAGCCATGATTACAGTAGTCTATAATTAGTCATAGTCACATTTAGGGAATTTTAGCAGCTCTGAAAAAATCATACAGTCTGAGCAATGTGTACACTTCTTCACCATCTGACCCACAGACCCATTGTTGATGTCAGTAAAAGCAGAATACCTCAGAGAAAACCCACCCAAATAAACTTGTGACATTGCAGGTCCATTGTCCATTGTCTTCACATATAGAACTTGTATTTAAGTGTCATAAAACTGGTTTTGTCATTTTAGATTCGTTTAGTAACAGACAGAAGAAAATTAAGCCTTTTTTTCATCTGTTATCCTAATGCTTCAAGATACTACCTTACATTAATAATGTTTTGTCATTTTAAAATCCCTTTGGCCTACATTTTTATGTGATTGTCATAGGCATAAAGGTTGGGCAGAGTCTTATGGGGAGAAAAGTGGGGCCTTTAGAGTCAAACAGATGTATGTTTGAATCCTGGCTTCCCCAGTTACTACCTGTATGCCTTTGGATAAGTTACAGACACTCCCAGAGCATCAGCCTGCTCATTTGTAAAATGTGAATGATAATATTTGAATGATATTGCCGAGTTGTAAGGATTAGATGAGGTTACGTATATAAGGCACCTAATGTAATATGTAGTATATAACAGGTGCTTAAAAGCTAGTGTCAGTACTATTATCATCCTCATTTTGCATCAGATACTTGTTAAGCACCTGCTGTGTTCCAGGCACTGTACTAGATTGCTAGGAATACAGTGGTAAAGAAGAAAGATGCTGTCCCTACCTTCATGAAGCTTACATGTCTCTAGTAGGAGACACAAACACGTTTATAGTTAATTACAATACATTGTGAAAACTGTTGTCATAGGGGAAGAACAGTGCTTGGGACTACAAGGAGGAACACATACCCAAACTTGGAGGCCAAAAGGGTAAAGTAATTGACACAGATGATAAGTAGAGGAGCCAAGACTAGAACCCAGGTCTTCAGAACTCCCAGACTGGTATACTGTTCCCTTTATCATGCCACCTCTGTTATTTTCAGTAAATTGCGTCTGGGCAGGGTACCACCTTCCATTTATAGCACCATCGTCTATTTCAGGAACATTATGTGACACATGAAATACTGAAGAAAGTGAGCCCCTTAGAGGCTGATCTTGTTAAAGACCCAAGCATGAAGTGTAAAGTTAGATTCAGGTAATGTTTCTATGCTGATTTACTTCAAGATGTACTTAGTTAATATGAAAAAATCTTAGACATTTATTTTCTTAAGTCCTCATGACTTCTCAGGATATAATTACAAAGTAAACAGGTTGATCTTATTTACATTTATTATGTGAAGAAACGAGTGGCTCTCATCTCCCATGATGTGGCCAGTCTGACACACGTATGAGAATGGTTGGGAGCACACACACCAAAGTATGGCTGGTTCATCTGCTGTAATCCAGTTCATTACCAGTTCTTTCTATGCTCTGGCATAGCCTTTACCCTGCATGCAAGAAACTATGTGAACTATCTTAAATACTGAGAAGTAACTGAGCCCCAAACCTGATGCTACATGACTAATTTTTTTATCCTTATTTCAGATTTAGTGGCGAAACATTTCCACCTTTCATCGTGTTTAAAATATTTCTTCATACTGAAGGCCACGGTTACAAGTATTTCAGTGGAAAAAATACGTTAAAGCCATCAAGTAAGGTGATGTTTCACGATGAACATTTTATGTTAATTTAACTTAACATCTTATACATCTTAATATATTAACATAGATAGGTAAGATCTGAATTGCATTTAAATTTACAGACTAAGTTATTCCACCATTAAACAGCCCAGCAGGCAGGTAGTATTTTTCTTAAACATCGTTTCAAAGAATCTCTGTTTATTAGCTAAAAAAACATTTGTAATTATTACTCATATAAGGCCCTAGAAAATACCCACCAATAATCTTTGTATTAAAATGTTGGTTTGTTAATAATGGACTGGTTATTTTACAAAGCTTTCATCGTATTTGTTTTCGTACTCTGTATTTGTCATATAACCTATGCACATTCCCAGGCTTTTTAAAGTAAACGATCTGCTTTCCAGGCACAAGCTAAACTCCTCCCCCGAAATGTATTCATCACCTATTGTATGTCAGGCCTTGGGCTGTAAGTGTGGCTGTGAGGACAAACAGAGGTTTCACAGTAGAGAAAACCATGACCATGATTTTCTTAACCACAAGGAACACTGTAAGAACAGCCATGACTGAATAATTGGGGGAATGAAGTTAGTGAGTTAGTAGAAATTTAAATACACACAAAGTTCTCAGTAGGTTTTTGACACAAGGACTTGGTCTGATATCATCAACTCCTGTCATAATAATTCAATTGACAAGAAAAGTTCAATTTTTTTTCCTTTTTGGTTTTGGAGCTGGAACTACCTAATTAAGATGATTCCTAAGATCTTATGAAGCACTTTTAAGTGTTGTGCTAATGCTATGGGGAGATTAAAAAAATGTAAGATGTCTGCTTCCTCAAAGAACTTAGAATATATCTGGGGAAATGAGAACAAATACACATTTACCAATAAGTACATGAGGCACTTGACGGGTAGTTATGAAGCCATACAGCAGCACACCTGTGAGTGCTGTAGAACTTTACATCGAGAGCATATCCAACAGGCCCGAGCCACTCAAAGGATCCTTTGTGAAAGAGGTTAGGAAGTTGAAGACCGAGCGGGAAAAGCCTGAATCGAAATGATGAGGATGATAAGAGTCTTACATTTGGATGGTAGATATTTGGTATTGTAGAGATAAAATCAACAGAAGTACATGACTGATTTGAAGTAGGGATAGGGCCAAAAAGTGAGGACTCAAATGTGATGTGAGGATGCAGAACATTTGATGCCATTTTGTTTTAATGGCATTTTATTGTTGTTTCTTTAATTCTGGTAGCATATTTAGAAAAACTGTGCTGGACTATTGGAAATGAAATTTTAAAATATTTATCCTTTTTTTATATGTGCTCTTATACTTTTAAGTTTCATGACTATTCACCAAAATTGTGTCTATGGCATAGGAATCACCTGAGAGTCTTGTTAAAAATGCAGCTTCTGATTCAGTACATCTGGGATGGGGCCTGAGATTCGGCATTTCTAACCAGCTTCCAAGTGCTGATTGTCCAGGGACTACACTTATCTACAGCAAAGATTTTACTCCTTTAACCCTTATATATGTCTATAATTGAGTAAAAAAATGTGTGCGTTCTCACATTAGCCTTTTATAAACCATACATCAAAGATTGTCTTCCTGTAGCCTTCTGGAAATATTTTACATGGAAAATATGGCCCATCTGCCATCATCAGTAATGGCATGAATTCAGGGTAGAAGACCACACAGCCTGGCAGTTTCTGATCAGATCCAGAACGTGCAGCATTTATTCTCTGAAGAATATTAGCAAAGGAAAAGAGACTGCTTTTTTCTCTGGTCTCAGGCAATGTCAGAGAAAATTTAACTCAGCTTCAGAAATGTATCAAATGGATTATGTGTCTTCATATGGAATATGGTGTTTCAGAAACATTAATATTTGTTCATTTATATAGATTGACTTCAAATGTGAAAGTAAATATTTATGCTGCATTCATGCCACATTTATCTACAGAGTAAGCTTATAGTTGGCCCTATAAAAAAAATATCATCAATTGTTGCTTTTCTGAGGTTATATAATGGGGCTTTTCCAGGAATTGAATTTCTCCCAGGTCTGCTCCTGGAGGCCCCTAGTGTCCCCAGGCTGCAGCAAATGAGAACCTTAGAGGCCATGCCTGGAAAGCACACTGTGCATATTAAAGCTCATAAAAAATGCTGTATAATAACTTAAATTTTTATTTAAATTACAAAGTAACTGTTGGGAAAAAAGGAAATAGCACAGAGATTTAAGAAAAGGAAAATATGCCTTTATGCCTTTCTTCTCTGTGCTACAGCTTTTACTTGCCTTGGGTAATCACTTGCTAATAATTTGCTGTATATCCTTCATTTTTTTCCCATAAAAACACACACTCAAATATATTTTTAAATTTTTTTATTCTTGTAAAAATGTGATCATACCATTCAGCTTGAGTTTTTCACTAAACATAAGGGTTTTAAATGATTAGAACATACCCAACTTGGAGAGAACAGTTTCGGGTCCTTTTTTCCCTCTGGTTCAGCTTCAGAACAAACTCTGGTAACACTTGGATTCATGGTTGATAGAAAAACCTGTAGAAGTAGAATTTTTCTCCACTGTAAGTTTACTCCTTCGTTCCTTGAATGTAGAAATTCTATCTTTAGCAAACTGATCCAACTTTCCTAAGTTTGCCTATTTCTTAATATGAAAGAAATAAGTCGGTTTTAGTCCGTTCAGATGTTTAATCTAAGTTCACTTATGAAGGAGGGGAGTTTCACAGATTTTTGTTGTTGTTCCAGCTTTTCCCTTTCTCTTATTTCCATTTCTAGTTTTATTTCCTTATCATTTTTCAATGGCATTTCTCATGTACTCAGAAAAAAAGCAAAAACAAGTGAAAGGATATAGAATAGCCTAACACACTTTGGAGGAGAAGGACAAAGTTAGAAAATTTACACTATCTGATTTCAAGACCTAAAAAGCCACAGTAATCTCAACAGTGTAGTGATGACATAAAGATAGACATACACAGAGGGTGCCAAAAAAAATGTATACACATTTTAAGAAAAAAAAACTGTATTAAATTTGTAATACTCACTATATACTGACAACAAAAGATGAATACGGGGCGGCTGAGTGGCTCAGCTGGTTAAGAGCTCGCTTGGGAGCACCAGCTCTGAACAGCAGTGCCGCAGTTCGGATCCCACATTGAGGGCCAGTGACGCTGCGCCCTCTACAGCTAAGATGATGAACAATAGCTTAACCTGGAGCTGGGCTGCCGTGAGTCGCTGGCGCCGGCGTAGGCTGCAGCAAGGATGCAGTGGGCTGCCGTGAGCTACGTGAGTGGCTGGCATCCAGCGTAAGCGGCCAGCAGCGGGTGAGAGCTTCCGTGAGCGGCCAACCAATGACCGACGACCGATTGCCTCACCCAGGAAGAGTGCAATGATCATACCAACATGGGCCAATGAAGTGACATCCTCCACAACTAGACTGAAGAACAAAACAGCAATTTGTCTACCTGTCTGTTCCCCTTCCCCGATTCTCCAACACTGTTCCCCTCCCCCAATTCCCCAATAAAATCTTTAAAAAAAAAAGATGACTACAAGTCATGTGTATACATTTTTTTGGCACCCCAGTAGATCAGTGAGATAGAATACAGAATTTAGAAATAGACCCACACATAGATGATCAATTGATTTTCATCAAAGGTGCCAAGGCAGTTCAAATGGTGCTCAAACAATTGGATAGCCATGTGTACAAAAAAAGAGATCTCATTTCAGTTACCTACTTCGATGATCTATTTTCAGAGCAACGCTTATTTACAGAGGGTTGTCACTGTAGTTAGTCCACTGACTATATTTAGACTATTCTAAAGCCTTGCTACTCCAAGTGTGGTCTGCAGACCCACAGCACTAGCATCCCCTGGAACTTATTAAAAATGCAGACTCTCAGGCCCCACCCCAGACCCACTGAATCAGCCTCTGCCTTTTAACAAGACCCCCAGGTGATGGTAGGCACAATATAGTTTGACAAACGCTGTCCTAAAGGTGCCCTCCACCGTGGCCTGGAACACCTCTGGGTAATTGACAGTTCTTAAACGTTAGTATTCAGCAACTGTTACTTTAAACTGAAGATCCTGTTCTTTTTGAGGATTGGGAATTTATATAAAAAGGAAAAATATTCATATTAATAATAGCTGCCCTTATTGAGCACTATCAGGTATGATGTTAAACATTTTATGTGCATTATTATTTAATTCTCATAAAATCCAGAATGTAGATTCTGTTATTATCTTCATTTTTAAAAGACTGAGTAACTTGCCTGAGGTCTCATAACTAGAAAGAGAAGGAACTGACATCAAAACCCAGTGAGCCTGACTCCAAGCCTATGCTCTTAACCCCTTCTAAATCAGCAACCCCACTACATGGGTTCTCTTCTATGGCCCCCTGGTAACATGTTACTCGTGTGTTGCCTATGAGGAAGGTAAAACTTGCAGAGGCTTGTCAGGGGCAGCACTGAGACTTGAACACGTCTCTGTGTTCCCACTGTACTTTGCACATTGTGAGGTTGCAACGACACCAGCAGTTATGGTGGTTTTATTAATTCTGAGCCTATAAATAATTGAACGTTTCCAAACCAAGAAACTGTTCCCATGCAGGGATACCATTTACTACTACCTTCGTGAGTGAGAATTTTCAGCCGGGCAAGGAAGTAACTTCAGATATTAGAGTAACTTAATAAGCCCAAGTATGGATCTAGGCCAGCAAGTAGCCACAGGGCTGTGGGGGCTTCTGGGCCACATTGATGCTGGATATCAGGGGAGGTGTCAAATTTAGAGATGCCCCCCTCTGACCCTTTGAGTCACCCACTAAGAATGGAACCTGCTTCTTGAATCCTAGTCTGATTGGCCGCTATCCTGGAATCCTTGCCTAGTTTTTGCCCTTCCCTTTCCTATCCAAAAGGACTTTCCTGAATCCGGCCATACATGGCAGATGTATGAGAAAGGACATATTGGCCATTGTACGGCAAACTTTTTTCAAACCCCTGTCACAAGTGGGCAGTGAGCCTGCCCTGTGCTGCCAGGCGTAGGGTTTTCTTGGCTGAGAGACTGGGATGGGACTGACACAGCTGAGCCACACAGCTGAGAGGCACTGTACAAATAAAGAAACGAGGGCTTGGGGAGATGGGTGGTGGTGGCTGAGTGGAGTAGAGTAGGGAGGAACTGACAAGAAATACCTTTTTAAGTAACTGGAGCTAAAGTAAAATATAATTGTATCTAAACAAATTCTCAAAGCAGAAATTAAATGGCTTTCAGACCTCTTCAGTGTACAACTATTTTCTTTTTTACCTTTAGTGTCGCTGTAGGGATAGTTAATTAGAATCCACAGAAAATTAATCGCAAGAAAGCATAATGGAGATACGTGCCAATACTGCCTTGTTTTAGATGCATGGTGTATAAAGAAACTAATGAAATGGAAAACCAAAATGATCTGCCTACAGGGAAGTTCCATCACATTTTTAGTAAACTATTTCTGTCCCTTTTAATTTAGTGCATTAGGAATAAAACACAACCATTTGAATATTTTCTTTCCATATATGGAAAATGGTTCTAAGCTTTGGAATTAAAAATATAAAAGAGTATTCTGGATAGCAAAAGTGAAAATTGGAATAGAAAATACATTAAGGCTCACTGTTGTATTGTTAAGTAAAAAGAACAGATTCCGAGTTTTGATCCTATTTCAACCACTCCTCTATGGCCTTATATCAGCAGAGTTCCCATACTTTCACAAATATCACATTCTGAGATGCAAAGGAAAAGAGAAACTGATCTGGAATCAACAGATATTTGAATTTGCATCTACACCAATCTCCCTTCACATAAGCATACCCTTTGTGGCCAGAAGCACAGACACGTAATACACGTATGTGTAAGAGGCAGCACATGATTATGAGGAGTAAGAAGGAGGGTGGGGAATACTTAAGGCTCTACTCAAGTCTATGTATAGATCTTAGCACAAGGAGAGATGTGCACAGAAGGGTTTGGTACAGATAGGGCCAGACAGAATCCGAGTGTCAGAATTTTCTGTGATTCTTTTATCTCTATCTTCTCAGGTGCTGTCCTTGAGTACAAAATGTAAAAAACCCTTTGTTTCCCAATCTTTGGCTACTGAGAATGAAGTCTGAAGGAGAGGGTGGTCCAAGCAATCTGAAATGTACATGTTTCCATTTGGGGGCCATATATTAACTAACGCATAAAAGAGAATTGGCCCAAACCTAGGGCAACCTATTTAATAACCAGATAAGCTTTCTCTGCATTGATAGCATGAATGGCCTTATAGATTTGCTTTTTAAGGGAAAATAATATTTTTTAAAGATTTTTATTGGGGAATTGGCGCATGGGAACAGCGCTGGGAAATTGGGGGAAGGGGACCAGACAAGTTACTGTCCTTTTGTTCTTCAGTCTAGTTGTGGAGGACGTTGCTTCACTGGCCCAAGTTGGCACCATCACTGCGCTCTTCCTGGGTGAGGCAGATCAGTCGCCGGCTTCTGGACGGCCGCTCACGGCGGCTGCTGGCCGCTCACGCTGGCTGCTGGCTACACACGGTAGCCATGGCAACCCACTGCAGCAGGGGCTGCAGCCTACGCCGTCGCCGGTGACTCATGGCAGCCCAGCTCCAGGTTGAGCTGTTGTTCAGCATCTTAGCTGTAGAGGGCAGTGTCACTGGCCCTCATATGTGGGATCCGAACCGGGGCCCTCTGGCGTCCCAAGCCAGTTCTCAACCATCACGCCACTCGGCCGGCCCAAGAATATTTTTAAAGGGGAAAAACATGGATCTTTTAAAAACTGGTCCTCTGAAGTTTGTAGACCCAGCTATGCCGCTAGCTACATTTTAAAACTATGTAGATATGGTTATGCAAACAAATTTTAAGTGGTTTTTAAAATCCCTATGTAATATTTTCTTTGTAAATACAGCCCATTTGTTGACTAGCAAGCTGCTAGAAGGAAGGAACAATAGTAGATGTATTTGTCAGAAAAATATGTGAAGTGTATGCTGATAATTATTGCTATTATACTATTTTAAAAGTATTTTTTCTGTTTTCTTTAAAGGCAGCAGTTGATGCTTACAACATAATGGGGAGAAGGAAATTTTATGATCAAGTTTTGGAAGATGAGCGTCTTTCCCAAAAGTTCAAAATAACTGATGAAGTAGCTATTGTCACCCTGAAAGATTACGTAAAAGTAAGAAATTTAGATTTAGATACTGAAAACAAACAACAACGACAACAACAAAAAAGCCTTCTGACCCAAGAATCATACATTTTTTTATTGTGGTAAAATACACATAATATAAAATATACTATTTTAAAGTGTACAATTCAGTGGCATTAAGTACATTCACAGTGTTGTGCAAACATCACCACCATCTAGTTTCAGAACCTTTTTGTCACCCCAAAAGGAAACCTCACATCCATTAAGCAGTCACTCCCCATTCCTCCATCACTACAGCCTCTATTAACCACTAATCTGCTTTCTGTCTCTCTGAATTTGCTTATTCTGGCTATTTCATATGAAAGGAATCAAATTATATGTGGCTTTTGGTATCTGGGGAGTGACAGCTTAAGAATGTGGGGTTGCTTTTTGGTGTGATGGAAAAGTTTTGGAATTAGACAGTGGTGATATATGATGTGAATTTACTAAAAACCACTGAATCGTACACTTTAAAATGGTTAAAATGGCGATTTTATATTATGTAAATTTTATCTCAATAAAATATCCAGGGCTGGCCAAGTGGCGCGGTGGTTAAGAGCTGGCTTGGGACACCAGAGGGCCCCGGTTCGGATCCCACATATGAGGGTCAGTGACACTGCCCTCTACAGCTAAGATGCTGAACAACAGCTCAACCTGGAGCTGGGCTGCCATGAGTCGCCAGCGATGGCGTAGGCTGCAGGCCCTGCTGCAGTGAGCTGCCATGAGCTATCATGAATGGCCGGCAAGTAACTGCCTCACCCAGTAAGAGTGCAATAATAACATTGGCCAGTGAAGCAACGTCCTCCACAACTAGACTGAAGAACAAAAGGACAGGAACTTGTCTGTTCCCCCTCCCTCAATTCCCCATTCCTGTTCCCATCCTCCAATTCCCCAATAAAAAATCTTTAACAAAAAAAAATAAATAAATAAAATAGCCAAAATAAATACATGGTACTAAGAGAGTGCACAGGGATTTTTTTTCAATTACAGTTGACATTCAATATTATTTTCTATTAGGAGAGTGCACGGGGATTTGACCTAGTAAAGAAGGGTTCTATAATTGTTTGGATGCTTTCTGTTACAAGCAACAGAATATTCCCAACCTCAAGAGTCTTAAACAATAAAGGACATTTATTGTCCCATGTAAGATGTCCCTGGATAGGAGGGTCCTGGACTAGCTAATGCAGCAGTTCAAGAGCATCAGGGGTCTGGGTTCGCTTCTCTACAGTTCCCTTGGCTTCCGTCACATGAAACAAGATGACTGCCACATTCTCAGCTGCATTCAAAAACAGGAAGAAGGGGACTCATAGCATCTTTTTCTCTTTACCTCAAGAATAAAAATCTTTCCCAGAAGCCCCCCATAGACTTCCCCTCAGGTCCCATTGATCAGAACTGGATCACATGCTTCCCCTAAACCAGTCACGAATAAAAGGAAATAGGAGCATTTCCCATGATTGACTTTGAACAATCATGGCTCATGTGCTAGGGCCCTCCTTTCCAGAGCGTATTACTCTTCCATACCTGACAAAAAAACAAACCAGGGCTCCATGAGCAAGGAAAAGTAGGAAATGGTTGACAGGCAGGCAATCAGCAGTGTATCACAGCCTCAATCTGGGACCAAGCAGGTGGCACACCCAGGGCTAAGGCTTAGCCGCAGGGCCTGAAAACAGGTCTGTGGGGCTCGTGGAGAGAGCACACGTTGGCTGTGGTGTGTCGTCAGTCTGGAGGGCTGGTAAGAGATGATCATGCAGGGCTTTCAACCAAAGTAAGGTGGGTTTTTTTTCTTGATTCTGTGCACAATGAGAAGCTGGTGCAGTGTTTCAAAAAAAGAGGTATTCTAAACTGATGAGTGAAGTGATCCATGTGGCTGCAGTGGAGAGACTGGATTAGAGGACCGCAAAAGCCTTCTAGTTTGGAGGTTCCTGCAGTATTTTAGGAGAGATGGTGGTATCTTGGTTTAGGGCTGGAAGGCTGGAAACCAAGAAATCATTGGAGAATAAAAGCAGTGGGCCTTGGTGACAGACAGGGAAGTAAGCTAAAAGGTGTCCAACGTGGCTCTCAGGTTTCTGTTCTCTGGCATAACTGATAGGACAGCAGTGCTGAATCAGGGAACTTAAACTAGATACCTTAATAATAATAATAGCAAATGCTGATGTACAGTCATACACCACTGAATGACGGGGATACATTCTGAGAAATGTGTCCTAAGGCAATTTCATCGTTGTGAGAACATCATAGAGTAAACTTACAAATGTAGACGGGATAGCCCACTACTATAATTGTATGTGCTATACTTTTATACGACTGGCAGTGCAGTAGGTTTGTTTACACCAGCATCACCAGAAATGTGAATAAAGCATTGAGCTATGATGTTAACAATGGCTACGATGTCACTAGGTGGTAAGAATTTTTAGCTCCATTATAATCTTATGGGCCACCATCTTATATGTAATCCATCATTGACTGAAACATCATTATGTGGCACATGACTGTAATACTAGCTCCTTTTATTCTCATAACAACCCTAAGATGTAGGTACTATTATTACTCCATTTTACAAGTTCTAAAGAACAAGGGATCCCAAAATTCCAGCTCATAATAATAATATATGGCCTTAACTGTTTACTCAGTTGCTTCAGTGTGAAACATGAAATTAAAATAGTGCCTTAGAGACCCCCCCCAATTCTGTTTACTTTGTTTTAGAGCCTTAACCTAGAATATTAGGGAATTGGACCAGAAAATAAGTAGAGCTTGGGGATTCCAACTATCTTTGCTAATTTCAGGTCCCCAGATTGAGATATTGGAAGACAGAGATGATGATTGCTGATATTTATTGAGCTTTTCATGGACACAGCACAGTTTTTGGCTCTTTATATGCATATTATTACCTTTAATCTTCAAGTTTATAAATTATGTGACCCTTTAATATATGAGATTAAAAAAAAACTTGCCCAAGGTCGCATAGCTAATAAGTGCAGACCATATAGATCATTGACAATTCTGAGATGTTTACCCATTTTACTACACCACTCTCAGGAAATAAAATACACAGGCAGTCATCACTTTGTGCAGTAGTGCAGGGCCACAAAAAAGACTGTGCATGCTGAAACCATGCAAACCGAACTGTCCATACCTTTAAAAAATCTTGTCAAAGCATTAAAAACTCTCCTACTGTCTGTTATACATATATAAGAAAATGAAAAAAAAACATATAGTTAGCACACTGTAAAACATTGGAAACGTTGAGAATGAAAGTGTTTTATTTCTTTGTAAAAAAACTTATCAACTGTGACTAGACTAAATCCATTGAATTATACACTTTAAATGGGTGAATTGTATGGGATGTGAATCTCAATAAAGCCATAAAAAAACAGTTCTAGTAGAGTAGTTCAAACAGTGCTCGCCTTCTTGTTCTCATATAATTTACAGTATGGAGTGAACATCTTCTCTATGCCTTGGCGAATTGTAATGCGCCTTCCTAAGTTTGAATCACCCACCAGCATTTTATCCTTTACACTTTAAATGTTGTGAGGTATCTCAGAGTTTCGTTAATGTGAAGTGCCTTTTTGCCAGCATCACTTCCTCTGGCACAGCTCCATCCTTTTCGCCAAAGCCAGTTTCCTCATTTATGTTGATAAGTTCACCTTCACCTCTACCTGCCTATCTACAGTCTCTTGAATGATGGCGGTGTCAACATCGCCAAGGTCACCTATTTCTTTTAGAACTCCACTTATATTCTATTTGAATTTCACTTCCAGCATCACCACTTTTTGTTTCTTTTTTTATCTATCCCCTCTTTTGATTATCTTTTTTTCTTGCTGGGAGACAAAGAGGCAACCCAACCATGTACTTTCCTGTCTATGTGTTAACTGAATAACAGATCTGCAGTGACCAATCACTGACACACTTTGAAAGAAGTAACATGATTTGTCACTAATCACCATACACATCTGTTATTTATGTAGTGATCTATGGACTGAAGAGCTAGCAGCAGAGCTTGTACTTTATGCAATTACTCAATTATACTATGGTAACTGAAATTTGAACCATGTTTGGAGGACTGGGTTTATTCGACTAAATGGTGGTAATTAAAATTAATGCTTGCCTAAATGATACAAAGGGAGAACTGCCTGTGTGCGTGTGGGGAGGGGGGGGGAGAGAAAGAGATAGAGAGAGGGACTGACTCTAACTGCCTAGCTCTTATTCCGTTTCCTAGCATTGTAGCTTCTCCTGCCCTATTCCTATCTCTTAAATGAACATTTATCAGGTTAAATTGATTATATATGTTTGCATTTTTTAAATTCCTAATTTGATATTTTAAAATTTTCAAAAAGAAGTGGAATTTCTACAAATATTCCAAATGAAAATAGTGAGATTCACCACTTAGCTCCAGAGATGAACTCACTATTTCTAAAAAAGGTTTGTGCAAATCTCCGCTCAACCCAAGCATGTCATGAACGAGCACTACCAGGTATGCAGATCACATAGCTATTGTCAGTTTTTAGGCTCATCCTGAGTTTAATTTATCTGAGTTCTATTTGCCATTAAAATGTTCACGCATTAGGGCCGGCCGAGTGGCTCAGTTGGTTAAGAGTTGGCTTAAGAGCGCGAGCTCTGAGCAACAGGGCCGCCGGTTCTGTTCCCACATGGGCCAGTGATTCTGTGCCCGAGCTGAGCTGTCCCTGAGCTGCCAACAGTTGGCAGGATGGCTCAGCTGGTGTAACAACAAGATTGCCTGTTCGATGGTGGGCTATGTCCACCCGCAACTAAGACTGAACTTGGCACCTTGAGCTGAGCTGCCGTCTAGATGGCTCACAGTGGATAGGGTGTGTGCTCTTAACAGCAAGGCTGCCGGGTTCGACTCCTGCATGGGATGGTTGCTATGCCCACCTGCAACTAAGACTGAACACAGCACCTTGAGCTTAGAGGCCACAAGCTGCCGACAGGCAGCCAGATGGCGACTGGCACCCTCCACAACGAAGGTTGCAGAACAACAGCTTGGCTGGTCCCCCTCCCCCAATTCCCCAACACTGTTCCCCTCCCCCAATTCCCCAATAAAATCTTCTAAAAAAGAAAAAAAATCACGCATTAAAGAAATATTTAGTGTGACAAGAACCCTGTCTTCCAGTAGGGGAGCTAAGATGTACACAGATAGCTAAAACATTAAGTAGTCAGTAATAAGAGTCATAGAAGAGAGATGCCAATAAAATTCAGAGATGAGATCAATGAATACTTTTTGGATGAAGTGACATTTGAGTGGAACCTTGGGACATGTGTCTAAAAATATTCTAGAGCACCCACAACCAATCATTCTTAATTGTTTTTTCCATATAGTATTCCAGTCTTCTGGATGAGACCCCTGCATCTTCTGGTGGCAGAAATAACTACTGGAGAAGATTAAACCTCAAAAACATTCCAAGGACAATGATAATGTATGATATAGTTAACTATGTAGAGACTGGAGTAATCTCAACCCGTCTACAAAAAGAAATGAAATATCTATTACAGAGACCAAGAACAGAAGAGATGCGTCGGGACCAGCTACGGATTGTTTCTGAAATTAGGTAAAAGCGATCCTTTACTGGGATGACAATATTAGGACCATTTCTGAAAATGTTCACATTCTGCCAGATAGCTCACAAAAGTTAATAATAGGGCATATGGGAAAAACAGGGTTAGGGCAGATTGCTTAAAATGTATGCAACTTTGTAAACAGAGCACTAACAGAATGGACAATTGATACCTTGAGAGACAACTTGTACCACCAGACAGGCAGTTCAGGATGGCTGGAGGCCACCAGCAAATATAAAAAATGTACATCAATAGAGGAGAAACGCTGGCAACTCTTTAAATCGAGCAGGTAGTAGGCACCAAGATAGTGCAGATGGAAGTGGAGCCCTGGGCCAGGGTGGTTGCCTTTTAAGTGGACATGAGACGCAGTACGACCTGCCAAGAGCCACCCAAGGCGGGGAGTAGGGTGGAGGACAGTAAGGGTAAGTTGTGGGGGTGGGATGTCTCTGGGGAGAGAGCCCTAGGTGGCTGTGGTAATTCTTGTTTTTATAAATACAGCCAAGAGGGCTCCCATCGCCCATGCTGCACACAGCTTCTTCCTTTTCTGCTGAAGGTTATACTTCTACTCTTGCTATTCTGGCTCCCCTTGCCAGGGATAAATTACAGTGACATTATTCCCTTCTTTACCAATAGCATGTGAGCCAATTAACATTACAGAAACGCGTGTTGTAGTGAAATAGACGGTATTATAATATGCAACAACATGAATATAATATGACTGCTCCAATTATATATTTTTTCTTTCCATTACCAATTCTCACCTAACCCATCTTATTTACAGATTAAGCTTTCTTTCTTCAGAAAAAGAAAGCTAATAAGACTGAAGAGGACCTATTGGTAGTCTATGTTCACATAATCATATTTGAAATGAAAAATGCTCCTTTAGTACATGAAGAAGATGCTGGTGACTCACTGTCACACAAACACACTGGGTTTTGTTTCAGGACTAGAGATGAGTGGTGCTGACCCAATAACATAATTTAGCCCACTTATTTTTATGATCAAGGCTATACATTTGCCAGACAGATGGCCTGGTGTAGGGCACAGTCTGTCATCATGAAATAAATTTTCTCTAACTCACCCATGTAAGCACTGAATATAGAACTTAACCCTATTACCACCAAGGTCAAATAAATGTAATTTTCTCTGCCACCATATATAACACTAGACTCCTTGCTATTTGGACTCATGCTACTGATTAACCAAGAATAAGTCACTTTAAAGAGCCAAATAAATAGCCAAACTCTAAATCAATTGAAGAGGGAAAAGTAATTTCTTACCGGCTTCTTTGAATGTAGTCTTAGTTTGGGATCTCACAGAAGCAAACTAGAAGACAAGGATTTGAGTATGAGCAGTTTATTTGGGAGGTGATCCCAGGAACTACTGATAAGATGGGAGGTAAAGAAATGAAACAGGGAAGGGCAGGCAGCCAAAACAGCATGTGTTAGCAAGCAAGTTACCACTGTGGGTAACTGGAGCATAATCTCCCTGGATTGTCCGAGCCAGTATAGAACATGCAACTCAAGTTATCCAATGGTGGCAAGGGAGTTGAACTATTTATACACCAATACACATTAGTCATTGATTAAGGGGTTGCTTAGGAAGGGAGGTATGAATTCTTGGGCACTTTCCCCACACATGGGCTCTTGTTTTCACAAGAAAGCTCTCATGCTAAGTGAGATTGATGCTAGCAGTTGGAACTTGGGCCTATGTGCTCTGCATTGGTAAGGCCAAGGGGGCTACAGGCATGGCACCATCTGTGTCTGAACCCAACAGTGATAAAAAAGACTTTTTGGTGGGGGTTTTTTAGCTATATGAAATTTAATACTTTTTTGTGTTAATATGTGGTTAAAAAAAAGATTCAAATGACTACTATGGCTAGGCTACTACACGGTATTTTCTGGGAAAACTGATTTTTTATAATTTTCATCATCATCAATGTCATTTTCTATACACCTTCATAAGTGGCAGATAAAGAACTGTGCTGTGTAACTCTAGCAGAAATGAGAAATTTGGCCTAAAAATATGCATGCAGTATTGCTCCAAGTACTGAGATCTATGCTATATTTGCTAGAGGATACTTTCATAAAATTTTGAACTTGCTTTACATTTAAATTTTATTTTGTGCAATTTTTCTATCTATATTACAAATATTTCCTAGGTGCTCTTCATCCCCCTCAATTTGCCAACCTTTCTATTGGCCTCACCAACAGCAAAGTCAAATTAAACATCTGGGTCGTCGATCCAAGCAAGCTCAAATGAAAGTTGAAAAAATGAGAAAAGCTTACAAGATGGCTAAAGAAAGAAATGCTTCAGTGGGAACTGTAAGTTTAACTTGTACTGAATCCATTGTTTTCGACAATATGCACACTAAGTAATTCTACTTCCATAAGTAGAATTTTCCTCACCTACAAGTTCAAGGCTGAAACACCTTTGGTATATACATTGGTTAATATAAAGCTACGTTCCTCTTGGTAACAAGTATTTTTTAAATTCTTAAACCTGATAAATACCAGCTGTGTTGCCTCCACATTAGTATGAGCTGGCAAAAAAAAAACAAAAAAAAAAACCCTATTGTTTCTGTATGTTGACACTGTTGATTCAGCACATCTCTAATCATGCTTTTTTTCACAGTGGAAGTCATTTCTGTTTGAACTTATTAAAAGCTATACTGTGTGTTCGAGGAATATAATTAATAATGTTGTAAATATTGTGGAGGGTGTCAGGTGGTCACATGTCTTGCATCATGGATGGGGAAGAGGCTTGATCACTGCACTGTACACCTGAAGCTGATGTTGTATAATATTGTATGTCAACTATAAGTGAATATATATACATATATACATGTATATATATAGTCACAGGACATGGAGTATAGTGTGGGAGTGGAGTCAAGGGATTTGTAATAGATATGTATGATATTGGGGGGAAGTGGGGCGGCGGATTGGGGGAGGGGGTTGTCACTTCAAGGGGTAAAAAGTATAACTATTGCACTGTGTTATACAGCTGAAACTAATTCTAAAAAATGTGTATTTCATAATAAAAAATAATTTTAAAAAAAGCTATACTGTGTAAAGTTTGCCTTAGTATACACTCCTAAGCTATAGGAATATTTACAACGAACATGTATTTATGTATTACTTTGTAATTTTTCAAAAAGATTCTATAACTTTTTTTGAGATAAGGCTAAGTATAAACAGTCAAATATAAAAACGAAGTATTTAAAACCAAATATAAAACACTTTCTGCTTTTATTTATAATTCTACCTAGGAACTGAAAACAGACATGCCAGGTACAAAGGAACAACAGATGACTGTCCCCTCCACCCCCGTTTTGACATTGTGAAAATTAATGAACTCAAGTCAGATGACAAATTGGAAAAAAAGGAAAAGAGATTATTTGCCTGGTGTCAAGACTTGGATATTCATCATTTTCCATCATGTTAATGCACAGCTAATTGACAGAAAACTGAGTTATTTAACAATTTGCTTGTCTGTCTGTAAATGATGAATATAAGTACTAAAGAAAAAATATAAACAAGGCCTCAGTGTGCTCTCTTCACTAAATGCGTCACAGATTTTTAGGCCCTTTTTGTATTACCATATTTTTTACTGACAGAATTTTAATCTGAATAAATTATTTCAACTAGATGCCCTCGAAGTAGCCATATACAGTTTTGTTCAAGAAATGATGAGTAAATTAGTCCTGAGAACTTTTATTTCAATTTTGATTTTCCTTCATTTAAAAAAATAATCCGAACAGGCCATGCTTAGCATAAACATTAGAATTCACAGAATAAAAGGCTACTGTCGGGTCAGCCTCCAGTGCCTTTTTTTTTTAGTAGCATGTTGTTTTTACAGAACAGCTTGTGATTGACCTATTCTGAATTATAATAAAAATAATCATGAATTTGTTGCTACAGTCAGCGTGACATAGCATACCTAATCATTACTGAGCATTGTAAGCACTTGGGACAGAAGGCTGCATCTGCTTTAATGTTGTACTCGGGATATTTTTCAAGTATAAAGACTGTTAAGTAATATTTATCAATCTCCTTTTGAACTGATAAATTCTCATTCCTGATATAGTACAAATTCTTGATCTTTTTTGTGATCCAGGCTCTTGGATTATATCAAACCTTACCAGAAGTTGTGATAATTACACAAAGTGCATTATTTATTTAACCTTAAAAATACAATTTTTTATTTTGTTCAACAACTTAAAATGTGGAGGTTGATAGCTGATCTAACTCAGGCAAAGCAGCCTATAAGTGGATGTCATTCTTTGCTAAAAACATTCTCTTAAATGATAAAGAAGATTGGAGTTAATGGGTATGAGTCCCACTAGAACATATTCAACATAAATGTGTCCTCTTCAATATTAATGTATCCTCATTTGATATCCAAAAATAATCCCCTCATTTTCACAGCTTGTACTCGGGGCTGGTTGAATAGAAAACATGTATTTACTGCATGAGTCATACCTATTCTCATTTGTTATTAATAAATTGAGAAGCAGTCCCTATTTTAATCAAATGCATATCAGATTCAGTCCACCCATAGTATGTGCAATAACAAAGTGAAGGGAGATTTCAGGTAACAAGATTAAGGGAAAGGACAAAGGAAGGACAGACTCTTTACTTTTAAGGGCAGCCATTTCTCATATTTCATTACTATGACTTTGTCCCATCGTAATGGCCAGCTACAAGGGGGACTGAGAAATGTACTCTTGTTGTGGGCAGTTGTGTACCCAAAAAAATTCTATTGTTGTAATAGAAAGAGATAATTGATATTAAGGCATAACTAGCATCAGCTGCCAGAGATCAGGTCTTCATTGATTCTTTTAACTCACATTAAACAATGTAACCACATCACAGAAAATCCTTTTAAAAGTAGAATTACACATAATCTCATCACTATAACAACTCTTTTCATTTGCTTATATCTTTCTAATCTGTCTAAATGCATACATATTTTCACATGGTTATAATTATGAGTAACATATAGATTTAAATTTTTCACTTAATATTGTATCTTAAACATAGTCCACTTAAAAACAAATTTTGAATGGCCACATGATAGTCCATTGGGTGGATGAGGCATAATTTACTTAACCATACCCAAAGCACTAGATATGTCAGTGACTCTAATTTTTCACTATTGTATGTAATTAACAGTAGAGTGAACATCTTCATACATGGTTTTCTGTTGGCTATCTTTTATTTATTTTTAACTTAATTGCACTGTAATCGGAGAACATGATTTGTATGATACTGATTCTGGAAAATTGAGACTGGCTTTATAGCCAAGTATATGGTCAGTTTGGATAAATGTTTCTTGCACTGTTAAGGAAGAAAATATTTCTTGCACAGAGGGGAAAAAATGTGCATTCTCTGTGGTTGGATGCAAGATTCTATACATGTCCTTTATTCCGCTTTGTGCAGTGGCAGTATCATAGCCATGAGGTTTATCCAAGGCACAATTATTGCTAATTGAAAACTTGTCCCTATACATGTCCTTTTGATTAAGCTTGTTAATTGCATTATTTCTATTTTCTGTGTGCTGCTAATCTTTGGTCTGTGTAACATCAATTACTGAGAAGGGTATATATTAAATTCTACAATGGTGGTGGACTTGTCAGTTTCTCATAATTCTGTCAATGTTTATTATTTGAAAATATCATTAAGTAGATATATAATTTCAGAATTAGCATCTCTTTCTGGTGTATTGAATCTGTTATCTTTATGTAGTTACTATCTTTATTCCCAATATTGCATTTTGCCTTGAGGACTTTTTGTCCAGTATGAGCAGAGCTACTCTATCTAGCTTTCTTCAGGTTAACATCTGCCTGGCATATCTTTTTGCATCTTTTCTTATTTTCAACCTTTTGGTGTGTCAGAGGCTGGCTCGATGCTCACTAATTCCATTTTGTTTCCCTGGGAACACAGACTATATGTCCCAGTGTTTTTTGCAGTTCTTTTGGGACCACCAGAGGAATGTGGACAGAAGTGTTGTATGCCCCTTCTAGGCTTGGGCCCTAAAAGGTCACGCATGGTCTTCAATGTGTTTTCTCCCCTGTTCACATGTCTTGAGGCAAGGAACTCCAAGGTGATAGAACTAGGATTGGAGGATCCCAGATTCCTATGTCACTGGTTGAAGGAGCGACTACCAGAGCAGCAACCTGATGTGATGGACTGTGATGTGAGCAAGAAATAAACTTCATTGTTAAGCCCCAGTGATCTTAGAGATTGTTTGTTACAGCAGCTAACATTAATTATTCTGATATACCATGTCTTTGTGTTTTAGGTTTCCTCTAGGATACAGCAAATATCTGAATTGTTTTGTTTTGTCTTGATCCAATTTGAGGATATCTTTCCTTTAACTGGTGAGTTTAGACCACTTACACTTTACTATGATTTGATTGTTGATATATGGAATTATCTTTACTTTTATTTTGTGCTATCTCCTCTGCCTTTTTTTAATGTCTTTCCCCCCCCCCCATTCCTGTTTTCTTTCAGATTGTTCTTTTGATTCCACATTTCCCCCGCTATTGTTTTGGAAGTTACACAGTCTATTTCTATTCTTAGTGATTACTCTTAAATTTTAGCATGTGTACTTAAAGTCTAAATCAAAATAGCTCTACCCCCTCCCAAACTATCCAAGGGCGTTAGATGCTAGTCACCATCCGCTTGTCTTAAAAGTTATTGCTATCCAGTATTTTAGCACCATCTTGTTTTTTACCTCCAAATTAGCCATTATGGTTGTTTTATAAATCTCAAACTTTCCTTCTGGGATCATGTTTCTTTATCCTGATGTACACCCTTAGAAACTCCTTTAATGCACTTCTTTTGGTGATAACTCCTTCAGTTTGGGGTTTTCCTCATTTCACCCTTATTCTTAGATCCTTAATTTAAGTAGGTATCAAACTCTACATTGACAGTGGTTTTCTCTCAGCAATCTGAAGTTACTGTTCCACTGTTACTGCCAGCCTAATTGTTGTTCCTTTTAGATGATCTCTCTTTTCTCTCTGGCAGCTTTTAAGATTTTCTCTTTGTATTTTGTGCTCTTCAGTTACACTGAAGAAGATTGGCTCTCCCACATTCTTTCTCCTAGCTCCATTTTGTTTCACTCTATGTCCTTTGAGAGTCTGTCTTTGTGCCGAGGTCTCAGTTCCAATTCCCTGCCTTCCCTGAGCCCAAGATCATGTCTCCCACACACATGAGATCATGAGGTCATTAAAACCCGAGACTTTAGGTTCCTGGGAGTGACAAATGTGCTCAGAGTCATCAGTCACTTTCCATTGCTAGTTTGTAGCTCCCTCTTTATTTTTCATTCCTGAGGCGTTTCCTTCTTACAAGCCCAACTATACCTTTTAAAAGATAGCGTGAGTTTGGGGTGGTGTTTTTGTTTTTGTTTTTGTTTTTGTTTTGTTTTGTTTTGTTTTGTATTTGTATTTTAGCTAGGGTGTCTATGTTTTCTGCAGTGGGATAGTGTTTCAGAATATTTAGTCTACCATTTTCTCAGAAGTGAAAGTCCACATTGTCACTTCATTCTGTTGAATTATTATCCTTACGATAAAATCTTGAGAGTGGTGCTACTTAACTGCATCAGAGATTTTAAACACTTTTAGAGCTGTTCATACGCATTGTCAGAATGCTTTCCAGCCATTCACTTTTGAGTGGTGAGCACTATACTGATGTTTCTTATTCACTTCATAGGGGCAAAGTGGTATCATAGAGTATGGGCTTTGAATCAGCCAAATCGGATTCTCCCTCTCCCGACCCCATCTCTCTATCACGCCACTATTCATGTATATAGGAATTAGAGAAATTCTTACCCTTAAGAGTTTTGTTGTGATTTGAGATGCAAGAGAATTAAGAAAGAAGGTACCACTTGATAAGGAGAGAATGAAGATACACGTAGAAGAACCTCTGGCTAAAAATGCTGGCTTAAATATCTATCTTAACCTCTGCTCCTCCCTCAAACCCCACTAAAATAACAAAAAAAGAGATTTTTTAAGTCAGAAACCTTCAATGATAAAGACAGATCAGAGAAAACAATGGCAAAATTTTGTCAGAAAATTTATGAGCGGTAATTGACGTAGCAGATCTGAGAAAACTGTATCTTAAACTGGCTTTGAGGAAAGCTAAGAAGCAAACCAGTTTACACTGTGCGGCCCCCAGAAGACTCAGGAATTGGCAACAGCAAACAGGTTACCTTTGGAAGAGAGGGGTGAAGGAGAAGAAATTGGCTGAAAATCTGTTTAAGAAGCAATTGTAACATCAAATCCCTTCCCCATTGTTATGGTTGAATTGTGCCCTGTCCTCTCCCCCAGAAAAGATAAGTTGAAGTCCTAAACCCCAGTGCCTCAGAATGTGACTTTATATTAAAATAGAGCTGTTGCAGTTGCAATTAGTTAAAATGAGGTCATACTATGAGTATGACCAATGAGTAGGGTGGGCCAACCCTGTAGGACCGGTATCTTTTTATTTTCCTTTTGCAATTTTTTAAATTAGTTTCAGGTGTACAAAACAATGTAATACTTAAACATTTACACCCCTCATAAAGTGATAACCCCCCCCAATCTACTACCCCTCTGACATTGTATATAGCTGTTACAATTCCATTGACTCTATATTTCCTATGCTGTACTCCATATACCATGACTATATCTATATATCTATATCTATATCTATCTATCTATCTATCTATCTATATATATATATATATATATATATTAGTATGAAACACAGCTTGGGGAATATAATCAATGTTATAAAGAATACTACTGAATGTCAAATATAATTTAATATATATGTATATATAGTCACAGGACTGGTATTTATAAGAAGACAGCCATGTAAAGACAAAATCCATTAAAAGAATTGAAATGCGGGGTAGCCAGTTAGCTCAGTTGGTTGGAGCATGGTGCTGATGACACCAGGGTTGCCGGTTCGATCCACACATGGGCCACTGTGAGCTGCACCCTCCCTGAGAGAGTCAGCATGCCATTGTGGCATGGGGGCAATGTATAACCAATGACTATGGCTGTTCCCCAATAAAGTTTAGGAAAAAAAGAATTGAAATGGTTGCCTCTAAGGAGCAGAAAATGGAGGGAAGAGGAGTAGAGTCTAGTGGATTTTATAACAATTATTGTAGGACTATTTGACTTTTAAAACTCCATACAAGTATGCATTTGATTTTTAAAACTACAAATTTTTTAAAATACAAAAAATCAGAATTGTTGGGACATAGCCAGAGGTGTGCTGGAGTAGCTCACCCTTAGCTTGTTCAAGCTGGTTAAATTTCCGGAAATTTTGTGAGCCAGTTGTTAAATACAATTATTATTAGAAATTAATTGTATAAACTAAGTAAACTATTATATTAAAGGCACAGTTAGTTACTCAAAACTCATCACTTCCTAATTATTTTATTACATTTTACTATAATCTATGATCTTGATGTTATTTGCATCTATTGTATCTGTCTATGTGCTGTCATGTTGGTAACTTGAAAATATATGTATTTCTTGTTTATTTCTTAAACATTTTTATTAATTATAACACATCTGTAAAAAAACTATATAAAACAAATATAGAACTTAATGAATTATTGTAAGGCAAGACACCTCTGTAACTACCACCCATGTAAGAAAAGAACCATGGCTGACCACCCCAGCAGCTCTCCATCTGCTCCCTGTCTCCTAAAAGTACTTCTGACTTTTATGGTAACCACTTCAGTACTTTATAGTTTCATCACGTAAACATGCATTCATAAATACTATGGTTTAATTTCACCCATTGTTTTTATATGGCTTTTACCTCTTTTTAATCTGTAGGTTCCCTGTCTCTTTTTTGTCCTTTTACAATTTGTTGACAAAACTGGATTGTTTATCTGAAGCATCTCCCATGATCTGGATTTTGCTGATGGAATTCCTCTGGGGTAGCTTAACTTGTTCTTCTGCCCTCTGTGTTTCCTGTAAATTGGTAGGTGGATCAGATCTAGAGACTCAATCTTTATTATTAAAACAATGACAACAACAAAAACATGAATTCAGCAAATATATATTGAACATTTATTGTGTGCCTGAAAGTAATTTTTAAGGACTTTCATTATTTCAGGCAGCTGACAGAATCTTCTTGAGGGACAAATTGTTATAGTTCACTCTATAACATTAGCTTGGTCGCCAACTCAGAAGGCATCTCCAAAAGTGCTATCTGTGGCTTATGTGTGAAATACACATTAACTGACAAAGGGACTCCTGGTAATGACATAGAAGTAGTACAGCAATGTCTTCATGAAGAAATTATTAACTGTATAACCACTTGTATAGATACCTCTGTCTGTTTTTCAAGGCTGGTTTTAATAATAATACATTTACCAAGCACCACTGACAATGATTGCAAATTTCACAGGAACAGTTTGTAGGAACTCAGCAATAAAGAATTTTTAAAAGAACAGGAGGAAATTTCACTACATATTTCAAAAAAATCAGAACCTTACATTTTAAAAAAGGCACAGAATAATAAGATTCTATAACTTGATGCTCTCTATAACTTTTTCCTATAATGACCCAATAATATAGTTTCCTTTAACTAATGCTAATTATTTCTAGAATAATATTGGCAACTGGAAGAAATGTTGATTTGCTTAAAATTGAACATCAAGACTTACTGCTCATGTACAGTACCTGGCTAAGTTATTTAAAGTGTGGTTTAATTTAAAATAGTTTTGTGGCTAATTCTCATAGTGTACTAGTGAACGTTTTATGTTTACATATTTATAAAATTAATGAAGTTTTAGTAATAAGAACTTTCTTCACCTCTATTATTAATTCTTTCCTTGGAAGTAGTGTGAGATGCTCAGATCTGTGGACCAGGAAGATGTGAAAGAATGAAAATTGCCCCCAAACCAAAAATTTTCAACACTACTCTAAATTTATAGTATTTTATTCAGCTATGACTCATAGAAATGACATTAAGTTTAAAATATTCATGTGTGTCATTTTTTCAATGTGCTCCAAAAGTAAGTCATTTCCTTCTGTATTTTTGGAAAAGTGAATATTCATTTCTCCCTGGTAATATTAAATTATGGCAATGTTTGGCATTAAAATTAACCTGTCAAATTATATTCTTCAAAATTCTCCAACATTTGTAGAGATATGAGAAACTTTTAAAAGTGAAATAATCAAGATAATGATGGTTATGGACCGGACTAAAAAAATAAATACCCTAAATTATACCATTCTATCATAGAATATTACGAAAGAATTAAACACAATGTGAGCTTATTCTTGATCAATAATTATTACGAGTTTCTATAAATAAAAAGCCTCCAGTGTTAAAAGTTGTTAGATCAGCATTTCTGGAAATCTATGACTAATACCATTATACTATCTGTTCCAAGGAGGGTTTTTTTATGACATCATCTCTTGAGAAACTTTAAATATTAATCCATAGGTTATTCTCAGCATGCAATCCATTACTTTTTCATTCAGAGTACTTTCTCATTTAACACAAATAAGTTCATTCATTCTTTTAGCATGCTAATGAAAATAGGATCAAATGATGATATTCAGGTTTGCATGAATTTAAAGTAAACAAAAATGCTCTATTCAAAGACTATGCATCGCCAGTCCCTTTTTGCCTTCACAGATTATTTCTGAAAGCACAGCATCAAAGAATATTATTTTTGACAAAAAACTTACAATGTCATCCCAGAAATCTATTCCTATAGTTTAAGAAATTTTAGAATAACTTAAATTGTGATATTCGTATTTCCCTTCTAGAAGACAAATCTTTTTCTGGAAGGTAGTTTCTGCCGCCCATATGCCCTGGCCTTCACCTCTTCTGTGCATATAGTCTAACTTCCAACGTGCCAGCCCCTGGCCTCCTTTCTTTTCTTAGTCATAAAACCCTGTCTTCATATTTGATGCCATTATTAGGAAGACCACTGAAATGTAATAATGGTAGACAACCTTTTAAATTTAAACCTGGGAAAATGTGATTTGGTAAATTGTCAGTATAGAGAGCCACAAAAAGAAGAGTCAAATGCAAAACCTGGAAAAGGAATGAATATTGGGACGAACAGGTCAAGTGTTGCTTTTCTTTTTGTGTTTGGTAAGCAGATTGCCTTTTGTTTAGGGCATTTTGCTGTGGAGCCCGCTGCCACTGGTTTTTGCACAGTAGGCCAGAAGTGCCAGGGAATGTATGACCCTCAGGAGCAGCTCTGACTCAATCAATGCCTGAAAGAAACTGGTGTACAAATATCCCACCTCCTTCTGTCCTTTATGGAATAACTGAGGTATGTGCGTGTGTGTTATACTGGTTCTCAGAATTTCCCCAGTACGATTAAGTTCCAGTCACCCGAAGTGGTAATGGACTTACAGCGCACTGTACTGGCTGCCTCGCCTTCCTTGTCTTCCTTCCCCAGTAACTTCCTCGTTCTTCTACTGAGGTTTGCGTTTGTTTGTTTTTGTATCTTCCGTTGTATGGATGGACCACATTTTATTTATCCATCAGTTGATGGACATCTGGATAGCTTTCACTTTTTGGCTATTAAGAAGAATGCTGTATGGACATTTGTGTACAGCCCTTACCCCCTACCTCTGGAAATCGCCAATCTCTATTTTGTCTTTATAGTTTTATCTTTTTCCAGAATGTCATATCAATGGAGTCACACAGTGCATAGATTTTTTTTTAAAGGAGAGACACTTTTTTTGGGGGGGGGGATTGGGAGGATGGGAACAGTGCTGGGGAATTGGGGGAAGGGGAACAGACAAGTTGCTGTCCTTTTGTTCTTCGGTCTAGTTGTGGAGGACGTTGCTTCACTG